TCCCTCCCTCCCTCCCTCCCTCCCTCCCTCCCTCTCTCTCTTTCTTATGTATTGGTAGTTTGCTTGCATATGTCTTTGTACCATATGGATGAGTTACAGACAGGTGTGAGCTGCCATATGGGCACTGGGAATTGAACCTGGGTCCTCTGAAAGAAAAGTCAGCGCTCTCAATCACCAAACCATCTCTTCACGCCAAATAGGAAAATGTTTTTTAAAAAAACATATTGTTAAAATTTTAATAAAGATTTGGAAAGGGTCACTAGGAGAGATAAGCAGACAGTTCTTACTGTCCAGAAACATTTGGAAGTTGGAGCCACACTCAAACATGAGTTTGTTCAGTTACCAGCATTTTGAGAACCTTGTTTCCCAAGGAGGCTGAATTATCCCTCTTCCATGGGTATATATTTATATCTCACAATGACATGTCTCAGAATTAATAGTCATGACATCCTTGAGGAAAGTGTGATATTGAGACTCTAGCTGAGTTTGAAAATGCAGAATAATAATAACTTATAATTTACTTTTCTTTGTAATACATAGTGAATTATTTTTATTTTATCTCAAGAACATTCTATCATTTGCTGGTTATGTTATAAATTCTGAAAAATCTTATATGAGGTGAAATGGAACAATGTAAATTGTTATTTACACAGTTTTATTAACAATGACAATGAGGTACAGGTGAATATAACATCTGTTGAATCTTTTCTTCTTCCTTGAAAATTTATATTTCATTGGAAGACTAAAATAAACAAGCAAACAAAAATCCTGTTAAGTCCTTCCCTAAAGTTTTTTATTTGTTAAAAAACTTATTATTAATTAGCTTGACTGACTTTGGAATCCCTGTTAAGGTAACGCCATTGTGTGACAGGAGGGCGTCCACAGAGAGGTATCGCTGAGAGGGATGGCTGTCCAATGGCTGGGGTCCTGGACTGACTGAAAAGGGACAGTGGAGAAAGCATGGATGCCAGAATTGAACTTTCTCTGCCTCCTCCTTGTCATAAATACAGGGTTGAGTCTACTGACTTCAGAACACATATGTTCCTGCAAATTCCCAATATGAAAATCGTAGACTATCATCTCTTAAAGCACACAGGTTTAGTCCCATGTTTTAGTTTGGAGAAATCCAATAGGGCAGAGGTTCTCAACCTTTCTCGTACTGTGACCCTTTAATACAGTTTCTCATGTTATGGTGACCTCCAACCATAGAATTATTTTGTTGTTACTTCATAAGTGTAATTTGCTACTGTTATGAATCATAATGTAAATGTCTACTCTGCAGAATACTGATATGGGACTCTTGTGAGGCTCAGGCTGAGAACCCTGCTATAGGGTTACTGCAGTGTAAAGGCCACTGGGTAATTCAGTATGTGTAATACAATGAAATTCTGTGCTCTCTACTATATATTGACATGCTGAGGGGTGAACTGACAAATAGCCACTGATTAATATTTACTAATATGTAGAATTATGTGTATATATGTATTTGGAATAGGCCTTGGAGATCAAACTCAGGACCTTACCCATTAGCCAGGGGCACTATACCACCGAGCCATCCCCCTAGAGCTATTTTGAAGTTTCCTAAATGTTTATTTTTCAAAGCAACCACTTTTTCCCCACCATATATGCTTTCCAATTTCACTGGTAGCTTTCTCTTGACTTTCTGTTTCTTTTTCATATTTCTTCCTATCTGACTTCCTTCTCTTCTGTTCTGTTTAGGATCCATGAATAATTAGCCAAACTTTTTCTAAGTAGTCAATATTCTTAATGGCTTCCTCCAGGACTGTCCTCTACTTGCCCAATATAACTCTAGCCTAATCCAATGGCAGCATTCTACTGTTCCATGTAAGATGGAAGAGGATAGTCAACAGCTGACCAGTGACTCTGTGCTTCATGAACTATGTCTCTGTGAAAGCTTCTCCAATTCTTGTATTATTTCCTTACCATAGAAGCTTCTTCCAACCTCTTTCCTCTACACATAAGCCCTACTATT